TTTGTTGCTTCGACTAGATATTCTAGTACAATATTAAATAGAAGCAGTTGTGAGTATCTTTGTCTTGTTCTGATACTGAAGAGACTACTTTCTTTCTTTTCTTTTCTTTTTTGAGTTGGAGTCTCATTCTGTCGCCCAGGCTGGAGTACAGTGGCACACTCACGGTCACCGCAGCCTCAGTCTGCTGAGCTCAGGTGATCCTTCCATCTCAGCCTTCCAAGTAGCTGGAACTACAGGTGTACTCCACCATGCCTGGCTAATTTTCTGATTTATTGTAGAGACGAGGTCTTGCCAAGTTGCCCAGGCTGGTCTTGAACCCCTGGGCTCAGGCAATCCTCTCGCCTCTACCTCCTTAAGTGCTGGAATTATAGGCATGAGCCACTGCGCCTGAGACTGCTTTCTTTTTTTCTTTTGAGTTGGAGTCTCTGTCGCTCAGGCCGGAGCGCAGTGGCATGCTCACAGCCACCGCAGCCTCAACCTGCTGGGTTTAGACGATCCTTCCACCTCAGCCTTCAAGTAGCTGGAACTACAGGCATGTGCCACCATGCCCGGCTAATTTGTATTTGTTTATTTATTTATTTTGAGTTGGAGTCTCAGTCTGTCGCCCAGACTGGAGTGCAGTGGCCGCTCCCAGCCACCACAGCCTCGACCTGCTGGGCTCCGGCGATCCTTACGCCTCAGCCTTCCAAGTAGCTGGAACTACAGGCGTGCACTATCATGCCCAGCTAATTTTTGATTTATTGTAGAGTTGAGGTCTCGCCAAGTTGCCCAGGCAGGTCTCGAACTTGTGAGCTAAGGTGATCCACTCACCTCGGCCTCCCAAAGTGCTGAGATTACAGGCTGAGCCACCCAGCTTGGCAATTTTTAAAATTTATTGTAGAGATGAAGTCTTACCAAGTTGCCCACGCTGGTCTCGAACCCGTGGGCTCAGGCAGTCCTCTCACCTTGATCTCCCAAAGTACTGGGATTATAGGGTGAGCCACCATACCCAGCCAAGACTACTTTCAATGTTGGTCTAGTATGCCTATTTGCTGTCAGTTTTAGGTTTTGGAAGAAACTTTATCATTATAAAGAAGATCCCTTCAATTTTTAGGTTACTGTAGTGTTTTAGTTTTATTTTGTGATTCGGTGTTGAATTTATTCATTGGTTTTCTTGCAGTCTTTAAGATGAACATTATATTTTCTTTATTCTCTTATTATGGTGAATGACAATTTATAAATGTTCTAATGTCCTCTGAATTCCTGGGATTATCTCAATTTGATAAAGTTGTTGTCGTCGTCATCATCATCATCATCATCATCATCATCATCATCGTTGTCGTCAGAGTCCCACTCTGTCCAGGCTGGAGTATAGTAGCAGGATCATGGCTCACTGCAGTCTTATCCTCCTGGGCTCTGGTGATCCTTTTGCCTCACCTCCTCAGTAACTGAGACTACAGGCATGTGCCACCATGCCTGACTTTTTTTTTTTTTTGCAGAGACAAGATCTTGCTATGCTGCATAGGCTAGTCTTGAACTCCTCCTGACCACAAGTAATCATCCCTCCTTGGTCTCCTGTAGTGCTGTGATTACAGGCATGAACCACCTTGCCTGGCCAGTACTACATTTTGGGGTTTTCTTTTGAGCTGGAGTCTCACTCCATTACCCAGGCTGGAGTGGAGTGACACCTTACAGCCACCGTAGCCTCTACCTGCTGGGCTCCAGCATTCCTTCCAAGTAGCTGGAACTACAGGCGTACACTACCACACCTGGCTAATTTTTTGTTTGTTGTAGAGATGAGGTCTCGCCTAGTTGCCTGGGCTAGTATCGAACCTGCGGGCTCAGGCAATCCACTCGCCTCGGCCTCCCAAAGTGCTGGGATTACAGGCTGAGCCACCGAGCCCACCAGCCTGATACTACATTTTAAAGAGACTCATGGATTTGGTGTGTTCTTTTAAAGATTCTTCTAATATTTATGAAGAAGATTGACTTGTGGTTTTCTTTTCTTGTAGTGGCCATGTGTAATCCTTAGAATATTCTATTTTCTAGAAGTTGTTGTGTGTAAGGTTGAATTGCATTTTGCTTCAGTGTTTGGTGTAGACCATGCCTATAAACAGTTTGGTCTGGGACTCCTAGGCTCAAGTGATTCTCCCATCTCAGCTGACCGGATAGTGTGCCACCTAACCTGGCTAATCTTTAAAATTTTTTTACTTTTCTTTCTTTCTTTTTTTTTTTTTTTTAACATAGAGACAGGGTTTTACTATTTTGCCCAGGCTGGTCAACAATTGGGATATGGAAAATTGGATATGGGAAGATTAAGCAAGAATTTGTTTTCTCCACTAATAATGGATTACAGTGCTCAGGTCCTGCATATCTACTTTTAAACTTTTTTTTTTTTTTTGAGTTGGAATCTCATTCTGTTGTCCAGGCTGAAGTGCAGGGCACACTCACAGCCACCACCGCCTCAACCTTCTAAGTAGCTGGAATCACAGACACGCCACCATACCTGACTAATTTTGCCGGAGGGGGGGGGCGCTAAGTTTAATGAAATGTAGTATAAAGAAATCCCATATGCCTAATACCCAGCTTCAAGTTCACTAGTATTTTGTACCACCATTCATTGTCTTCCCCCCTCTTTTAGCTAGAGTATTTTTTTTTTCTTTTTCTGAGTTGGACCAGTCTCACTTCGGCTGGAGTGCTGTGGCACACTCATGGCCACCCCAGCGTCGACCTGTTGGGCAGTCCACTTGCCTTGGCCTCCCAAAGTGCTAGGATTACAGGCTGAGTCACTGAGCCTGGCCAAGGTGAAGTATTTTATTTTATTTTATTTTTATTTTTATTTTTTTTTGAGTTGGAGTTTGTCACCCAGGCTGTAGTGCAGTGGTACTCATGGCCACCACAGCCTCTACCAGCTGGGTGAGGCAATCCTTCCGCCTCAGCTTCCCAAGTAGCTGGAACTATAGATACGCGCCACCACGCCCAGCTAATTTTTTTATTATTATAGAGACAAGGTCTCACCAAGTTGCCCAGGCTTTTCTTGAACTCCGGGGCTCAGGCATTCCTCTCACCTCAGCCACCCAAAGTGCTGGGATTACAGGCCTAAGCCACCGCGCCCGGCATGTTGGAGTATTTTAAAACAAATTCTAGCCATATCATTTCATCAGAGATACTTCAGTATATATCTCTCTTAGTAAAACATATTTATTTAAAAATTGGTATTATGCCGTTGTTACACTGAATAAAATTAATAATTTTTTTTTTTGAGTTGCAGTCTCACTCTGTCGCCCAGACTGGAGTGCAGTGGCCGCTCCCGGCCACCGCAGCCTCGACCTGCTGGGCTCCGGCGATCCTTCTGCCTCAGCCTTCCCAGTAGCCAGAATTACAGGCATGCGTTACCACACCTGGATGATTTTTTGATTTATTGTAGAGATGAGATCTCGCTGCCCAGGCGGGTCTCGAACCCATGGGTTCAGGCAATTCACTCACCTCAGCCTCCCAAAGGCGCGGGATTACAGGCTGAGCCACCGAGCCCGGCTTAATAATTTCTTAATATCACTTACTACTCAGTCTATAGTTGTCTGATTCTCATTTCAGAATGTGCTTTTATAGTTGGTTTGTTTGAATCAGTATCCAAACAATTCATACCTAGTATGTCTGGTTGTTGAATCTCTTAGTAACAACAGTTTCTCCCATTCTCCCCCTATACTTCTTTCTGCCATTAATTTGTTGGGAGAAACGAGGACATCCTGTGTTCTCTGTAATTTCCTTCTGATTATTGTTTGAACATTTTCTTGGGAATTTATTCATTTTGTTCTTAATTTTTTGCATTAAATTGATAATATTACATTATCTTTTAATTTTCTTTTCCTTTTTTTGGGTCAGAGTCTTGCTGTTGCCCAGGTTGGAGTGCTGTGGCAAGCTTATGACCATTGCAGCCTTGTCTACTGGGCTCAGGCAATTCTTCGGCCTCAGCCTTCTAAATAGCTTGAACTATAGGCGTGTGCCACCACACCTGACTAATTTTTTGATTTATTGTAGGGATGAGGTCTTGGCATGTTGCCCAGACTGGTCTTGAACCCCTGCAGGCATTCCTCTGTCCTTCACCTTCCAAAGTGCTGGGATTATAGGCGTGAGCCACTGTGCCTGGCCTTGGAGACATTGATTGTTAGAATTGGAGTATGGATGTTACTGGTATCAAGTAGAAAGACTAGGAATCTGCAGAATACAGTACTCAAGACAATCCCTCCTCCCCCAACAACAAAGAATTATACAGCCCAAAATGTCAATAGTATCAAGATTGAGAAACACTACGTTAATCTGTAATTTGCACTTCTTTCTTAAGGGGGTGGTTTGTATGTTGCAGGATCCAAAGGTATGGTTTTGTACTCTATTCAGGCTAGATTTTGATTCTGTAGACTACCAGGTCATGTGGAAGTAAATTCACTTAATCTCTTAAGGACTTACTTTGTGACAGTCACTGTAATAAAAATTTGGTAAAAAATGATGGACAGTACCTGCCTTCCTGGAGCTCACACAAATGACTGATCTTTTGTATTTATACTCTTTCCTTATGTATTATAATATCTTAAATCTTATGTTTTCATTCTGAATTTAGTTTTGCATGTAGATAAGTTATTTTAATCTTCTGATAAATTCTGGAATTTAATAAACTTAATTGTTTATCTTTTTTAAAGACTATCAATATACATTCTTAGCAACTCAGGTAATGGATGTTGTACTAACATTTAATCCTTTTTTCCTTTGTCTTATTTTAGGTACATTTCTTAAGTGTTTAAATCTGTCATTATAACTGAATATTCTCTTGACTTTTTAGAATAGATAAAAATTTTATGAATACTTTAATACAAATAATAAATAGGTATTATCTCGTGGTTTGGAAATGATACTTAATGTGGATCAAGAACAAATTAAATTTTCTTAAAAAGAATAAACTATAGTAGAATTATTTTTGATTCTGGGTGTGTCATACTTTAACCTTTATCTTTCTTCTTTGCTTTTAGATTTCGGCTCTTTATTTGACTTGGAGCACGACTTACCAGATGAATTAATCAACTCTACAGAATTGGGACTAACCAATGGTGGTGATATTAGTCAGCTTCAGACAAGTCTTGGCATAGTACAAGATGCAGCCTCTAAACATAAGCAGCTATCAGAATTGCTACGATCTGGTAGTTCCCCTAACCTCAATATGGGGGTTGGTGGCCCAGGTCAAGTCATGGCCAGCCAGGCCCAACAGAACAGTCCTGGATTAGGTTTGATAAATAGCATGGTCAAAAGCCCAATGACACAGACAGGCTTGACTTCTCCCAACATGGGGATGGGCACTAGTGGACCAAATCAGGGTCCCACACAGTCCTCAACAGGTATGATGAACAGTCCAGTAAATCAGCCTGCCATGGGAATGAACACAGGGATGAATGCTGGCATGAATCCTGGAATGTTGGCCACAGGCAATGGACAGGGTATAATGCCTAATCAAGTCATGAACGGTTCAATTGGAGCAGGCCGGGGGCGGCCGAATATGCAGTACGCAAACCCGGGTATGGGAAATGCTGGCAACTTACTGACTGAGCCATTGCAGCAGGGCTCTCCCCAGATGGGAGGACAAACAGGATTGAGAGGCCCCCAGCCTCTTAAGGTAAGTTCATTTTGGAGTTTTGTGTACAATCAGTACACGTTTGAGTGTTCCAATGATAGAAGGAGGGCTTGAGGTCAGTCAGTCATTTATTATTAACTGCTCGTGTTGAATCTTCTTATGTTTTGTAGCAGTTTCCACATATTATATGCCAAGGATCTGCTGTGCTATCATAAATTTTAAGTGCTTATATTAAATTTAAGCAAAACATTTGTTTTACAACTGGTGTTTTGTACCTTCATAGTTTGTTCCACATGATTGCCAGCTAAGTCCTGTCCTCTCTGGCACAAGTATTGGAATACTTTCATCTAATTTCCAAGTTCAGTTGTAGCCTGCTTATAAAAATGCAGTTTTGAGATAGCTGGCAATATTTTGTCTTCAGATAGAGACTTTATTAGTTCCCACTCCTTGGAATGTCTGATTTTTAATAAATATATTTATTCTAAGAAGTGTATTAAATGTCTTTTTCTTTATTAGTTGATGGATATTAAGATGCATTTGTTTACTGTGAAACCTTAACTAACATTCTACGTGTTTCAGTTAACTAGATTTTGGGCATTGTTTGAAAGGCTTCTCAGCAACAGACAGCAGACACTCTTGCTGTTATCTTACCCATTGTGTCCTTCGCAATATATCTTTCCTTAATAAATCTACTTTCCTTAGTTCAAAACAAAAAAAGCATCTCTTTTTTAAAGACAATTTTTTTTTTTTTTTTAGTTACCCAGGCTGAAGTGTAGTGGCACGCTCATAGCCAACGCGGTTTTGATCTGCTGGGCTCAGGTGATCCTTCTGCCTCAGCCTTCCAAGTAGCTAGAGCTGCAGACATGTGTCAGCACACCCAGCTAATTTTTTCATTTATTGTAGAGACAAGGTCTTGCTATGTTGCCCAGGCTATAAGACTCTTATTAGGCCAGGTACAGTGGCTCAAGCACTTTGGGAAGCCAAGGTGAGAGAATTGCTTGAGCCCATGGGTTCAAGACCAGCCTTAGCAGAGAGACTTCATCTCTACAGTAAGTAAAAAAATGAGCCAGACGTGGTGGTGTGCACCTGTAGTTCCAGCTGCTTGGAAGGCTGAGGCGGAAGTATCACCTGGGCCCAGCAGGTCAAGGCTGTGGTAGCTGTGAGCATGCCACTGCACTCCAGCCTGAGTGACAGAGTGACGTTCCACTTAAAAATAAAAAATAGATAAATAAATAAAAAGACTCTTATTAAGTAGAGAATGCTAAATATATTTTTAAAAATCTCCTAGCCAGGCTCGGTGGCTCAGCCTGTAATCCCGTGCCTTTGGGAGGCTGAGGTGAGTGGATTGCCTGAGCCCGCGGGTTCGACACCCGCCTGGGCAGCGAGATCTCATCTCTACAATAAATCAAAAAATCAGCTGGACGTGGTAGCGCATGCCTGTAATTCCGCCTACTTGGAAGACTGAGGTGGAAGGATCGCCAGAGTCCAGCAGGTCGATGCTACGGTGGCTGGGAGTGGCCACTGTACTCCAGTCTGGGCAACAGAGTGAGA